TGTCGACGCAGCTCGAGTTCCTGAAGAGGAACTGTAAATATATAAAATCACCACACAAAGCCCTTAATTACAAACCCGTCAACGTGTAATTCTATTACTTAATAAAATTAATATAATAGTACACTGACCTACTAGTAATTAATAAGCTGTTTATATACATTTAAAGTTGTATAGCTTTTGTTTAGATGAAAGAAGAATAAAGAAAAAAGGAGTAGTGGGATCAGTATGAATAGGATACAGTTGATTGTCTATAATTCGGTAAGAAAAACGAACACAAGTAAGATTGTCGGTTGTTCTGTTGTGTCCTGTTGAATTTTCGGTGTAACTACCTGTTACTGTAACAGCTCGACATCTAGTGGTTCGCAGTCAGAGTTTCTCGCAGAAGTGCCCTGAAATCCAAGTGCTGTCAGCTGAAAAGGCAGATGGTAGTTTTCACAAGTGTTGTTTATTAGATTAGGCTGAAATCACACTGTCTGTAATAGAAAATTACATAATTGTATTTACATGTGACATTCACAACAGATCTAACTCATTGTTAGATGTAATGTTAAAAATGTAATGTAGTAGGCCTAACACTACTTTAGATTAACTTTAGATTGTCAAGGTTTAGGTAAACATCCCTGCTTCATCTGACTCAGATTATTTTTCACCATCAAAAGGTACCAAAATACCATGGCATTACCATTGTTTACCTGCAGAGGTTACTTGTGAGAAACAAATCTGTTTTTCCTGCCTCTTACTGGTTGTATGAAGTATTACACACATTCACTTCTCCGCCAACACGCATCTAAAAACTGTAAATATATAAAATCACCACACAAAGCCCTTAATTACAAACCCGTCATCGTGTAATTGTATTACTTAATAAAATTAATATAATAGTACACTGACCTACTAGTAATTAATAAGCTGTTTATATACATTTAAAGTTGTATAGCTTTTGTTTAGATGAAAGAAGAATAAAGAAAAAAGGAGTAGTGGGATCAGTAGGAATAGGATACAGTTGATTGTCTATAATTCGGTAAGAAAAACGGACACAAGTAAGATTGTCGGTTGTTCTGTTGTGTCCTGTTGAATTTTCGGTGTAACTACCTGTTACTGTAACAGCTCGACATCTAGTGGCCATAAATGAAAGGTGCAGAATACCTCCATCTGAAATAAATCAACATTAAAGTCAAAGCAAGTGCTGATTCTGTTGTTGTAGGACAGGGGCAAGTTGTCACACGTTTTTACTTCTTTCCTAATTTAGATTTAGATTTTGTAACCACATGTTGTAACCTAAACATGTTTATACTTCACGATACATGTCAAACAGATTAAATTATATTCACGCTTCCCAGATATTCATTAACATAGACTGTACAGCTGTTACTGTTACAGTATACTGAGTAATGTCAAAACAAATATGACAAACTGACTCAAAAAAGAATAGGCCTACAAAATAGCCTAAGTATAGCACACTATTGTACACAATCCAAACTATGGACAATTAGACATAATCAAGCAGTGTTTTCTTAGGAGATTTTATTTTTGTACAACCTTTATGTCAAGCCATATTTCACATGTTCTACAGAAATATAGATCAGTATTACTATTGAAATAAATGTACATTCAGAACCTCTCGTCTATGTGGCAGACATTAGAAATGTGTTGTGTATGTATTTGCTTGTGCTGTGCATGCGTGTGCTTGTGTGTATCAGTGTGTGTTTGTGCAGCATTTTGTGGGTAAGTGGTTGTTTTCATGCAAAGCGTAGCAGTGAGTAGGCCTAGGATATTGCTTAAGACTAAACTACAGCATAAGAACAGACTTCAGGCCTGAGCCAACTAAAACAGGGTCCAGCTGTCAGTTTGTCTTTAGATTGATAATATAGATTGATTTATACAGTCGTCACGACCTAAACTAAGCAAATGTAACATTTGTGTGACCCTGATGATCTTTATAGTAATGGATAAGCATCTACAGCCACTGAAGTCTATGAACAGACAGTGCTGTTCTCCTGCGTGTCAGCTGATGGTACATTACAGCATAACACATGCCTAAATTTACAAAACTAGCACAATATGCATGATGAAAATGAATGAATAAAGCAACTGACTCATAAGAATCAACCTGCCTATCTGGCAGTTGTGACCTGACATCTGAATATTATAAGTACTCAATACCAAATTTTGTAAACATAATACAGCATTAATTCGGCACATTACCATGGGCAGTCTACACACATATATACAGTCTAGTCAGTACAGTTTATATAGGATTATGGAACACTGAATTTGAAGAAATATTCAAGTTATAACGCAAGGTCTTCCACTGTGTACATATATGGAATGACGCTATTGCATCACGGGACAAACACGCCAATGGCATCACTTGAGTACAAATCAATAATAAATCAAATCAACTTCGCTGTGATGTAAAAGAACATAAATATAAAATGTCCTGTTTTAAAGTTTCCCTCTTCAGATGAGATCACATTGAGCAGTAGACAAAAGGCTTTGGGAGTCTGTGCTGCAGTTATTGGTCGACTCGTGATTGTCTGGTAATATCGGTGAGATACAGAAATCAGTAGGTGTGTAGTAGTTGAGCTGTGAACCGATCACAGTCTTTTACATTCAGTTACATTTACTGTGTGTCCCAATATATGTCCCATTTAAAATTGAGGAAAATATGATTGCTGATGTTCAATATTGATGATGTAAAAAGAGGAACCAGGAACCCTTTGTGTGAGAACCCACTGTGCTTGTGAGACAGTAAAAAGATCTTCCTCCACTGATGCTCATTTGCATAACACATCAAACACACTGTTTATCTGTAACAGGAATTAGAGTTCATTATACTTGGGATGGTCAGTGACAAAAGTATTAGATTTAAAAACACTCTTTATGCTTAGGAAGCAACTCATGTAAAATGTGAATAAATAATCCAAAATTAATGTGCATTCTTATATTCAATGATGTGTTTCATATATGAATAAAATAAATGATTTTAAAATACACTACAGTTCACAAGGTTGGGGTCGGTAAGTATTTTGTGCTTAACAAAGCTGAATTTATTTGATCAAAGATAACGTAGAAACACTAATAGTGTGAATTATTAATGATTTAAAGAACTGTTTTCTATTTAAAAAGGTAATTTATTGTGATGGCAAAGCTGAATTTTCAGCAGTCATTACTCCAGTCTTCAGTGTCACATCATCCTTCAGAAATCATTCTAATATGCTCACTTGCTGCTTGAAAAGCATGTTATTATCAATGTTGAAAACATTTGCTCTGCAACATTTTTATGTAAATTGCAATTTTTTTCAGGATCCCTTGAAAAGAAAGTTCAAAGAAATAGCATTTATTTGAAATAAAAATCTTTTGTAACATAAATGTTTTACTGATCTTTTTAAATCAATTTACTGCATACTTGTGAAATTATTGTTTTTATGTAAAAAAAATAAAAGGTAATTTATTGTGATGGCAAAGCTGAATTTTCAGCAGTCATTACTCCAGTCTTCAGTGTCACATCATCCTTCAGAAATCATTCTAATATGCTCACTTGCTGCTTGAAAAGCATGTTATTATCAATGTTGAAAACATTTGCTCTGCAACATTTTTATGTAAATTGCAATTTTTTTCAGGATCCCTTGAAAAGAAAGTTCAAAGAAATAGCATTTATTTGAAATAAAAATCTTTTGTAACATAAATGTTTTACTGATTTTTTTTAAATCAATTTACTGCATACTTGTGAAATTATTGTTTTTATGTAAAAAATAAATAAATAAAAAATCTTACTGACCCCAACACTTTTGAAAAGCAGTGTAGATTTGTAGGTCAGAAATGACAAACATTTGGATTTATGCTTCAATCTCTGTGGAAAAACAAATGAAAGGTGAAAAACCCCATTATACTATAGATTAGTTTTGTTATTGCGGTAAGAAACTAAAATGTGCTTTGTTTTTCCAATGATTTGCGCTCCATTGTGGAATAAGCTGCCCTGCCTCACAAACCCTCCATAATACACCAATCATTCATTCTGTCTGCTGGAGCCCAAATCAATCATTTCTACATCAGACGATACTTCAGGCCATTCTAATCTCATTCTGTCTTGGCACGAAAAGAATATCTGATAAATTAAATAGCAAGTGGCAAACAAACACAGCAATGCATGCCACAGAAATCACCGGTTAAACATAGCAGATCATCGCACAGCAAAGGTCAGATTAATCGATTGCTATAAATAATACAACAGTGCAGCTAAAAACATGAATAAAGATAGTTTGCATGGAATTGCACAGTATGCAGTACAAGTGAAAAATTAAAAGAAGTAAAGGACAAGAGTACATAGATTTAGGAGTATTTCAGTTTTTGTCTTTCTTCCTGGTTGTAGTGCTAGAAATGGTTCAACGGTCAGGAAGTTCAAGCTGCTTTCTGTGCTGGTTAGTCATTTTGACTATTGACTCACAAGGACTCAATGTCTATGACAGATCACGCCTTTCCTGTTAATATTGAAGCTATTTTTCCAATAGGGATATTTCATATAATTATCTTACTGACCCTGAACTGTGGTCTTTAACCTATAGTACAGTTGTGACTAATTCAGGACATTTCTGTGTGCTTTCTTCATTTAAATGAGTATCACCGCTACACTGGAAACGATGCTGGTCTCTAGCTCTGAGGGGATATATGTGACCCTGGACCACAAAACCAGTCTTAAGTCGCTGGGGTATATTTGTAGCAATAGCCAAAAATACATTGTATGGGTCAAAATTATTGATTTTTCGTTTATGCCAAAAATCATTAGGATATTAAGTAAAGATCATGTTCCATGAAGATATTTTGTAAGTTTCCTACCGTAAATATATCAAAACTTTAATTTTGATTAGTAATATGAATTGCTAAGAACTTAATTTGGGCTTAAGTATTCAGCTTTCAGATGATGTACAGTATAAATCTCAATTTCGAAAAATTGACCCTTATGACTGGTTTTGTGGTCCAGGGTCACATATACAATATTATACACTAATATATAAACATACCATATAATTAAATCATTCTGGGGGACAACAGGTGGGACGATGTGATGTAACAGAAAGATGATCTCTAAAACTGATCTAAAATGAATTATAGTTGTTTGGTTTCACATACACAGTCACATGATTTTTCATTAAACAATGAGTATAATATAGTATAAATCAATGTCTTCCTCCATAATTTAAGAAACAAAAACATAAAATGTGGCATAATAGAATTTTATGGATGTGACAATGTTTAAAACCAGTGACTCCATTCAGGACGATATCTTGAGTGCCAGGAGTGACACCGATCCACTAACCAGCTCATTCTTCTTCCTTCTCTTAAATGTTGTGCTGAGTGAAAGAAGACATCAGGAGCTGATCAGAGTGGTGGTTCTACAATACATGATGCTGAATTGGCTGCCAGCAGACTTTATTCCTGGATGTATTTGGGTATTGTGTGAGTTGAGAGAGCTGCAGGAGCCGAGAGGGATAACTGGATCCATATGATGCCTTTTTTGTTCTTCTGAACCAGCGTTACTCAAAGCGCTCATAGTTTCGAGTTTGTCTTACTCGTGGCACCACGTCGATCAACAGCCTGCAGGAGAAATGAAGAATGGAAAGATTCACATTAGAGACATTATAGTGTGAATGACAGAAACTATCAGTATGTTCTCAGTGCATACACTTACTTGACCCCATAAGCTAGAATGATGAGTCCAATCAGGACCCCAATGGTTCCGTCCAGGTACCAGATGGTGGGATGATGTCTAAACACCTCAGCACTGATGAGGATGGAAAATCCCATGATGCCTCCAACCATAGAATTAAAGCCTTCAGAAAAATAAATGAATAAAGAGCAATTACATTTTATGTGTTGCTATGAATTTCATCTTCATGACACTATCGTTTAAGGTTAATTATTACTAATTATTTTCATTCATTGAAATAAAGCTTGAAAATTAGATGAAAAAGTAAAAAAATTTACTTGAATGAAAATGAGAAATATTGCCTGAAATAAGCTTATGTATTAAAATTACTAAAACTAAAACTGAAATAAAAAAGAATGAAAGGTAAATATATAAAAAACTAATAAAAAACAAGAAAATTACTTAAACCAAAATTAAAATGAAAACTGAAAATATAAATTCAAAATATTACAATATCATTTATTGTTATTGTTTTGAATCGCTATAGGGTCATTCCGTGTCAACTCAACCATAGTTCCCCGGCTCAAATTGTTGATTTTGCTAATAGTTTTTCTGAAGAAAGATAGGCTTGTATAGTGATGAAAGACAACATTTTAAATTTCATGGATGAATATTTACTGACTAATCCACTATTTTGTGTGTGGGGGGGGGGGCAGTTTTCACCTAAAATTCAGAGTCGAATTACAGGAGGGTAAAAATGACTTCAGAAAGATGGCAGCATCATAATGTTACTTTTACGCAGAGATTGGTAGGTCTGTTGGTAAAATCTGTTGACTTTAGCAATCTTTGTTGCATTATGTGCCAATGGTGAAGTATTTCTCAATACTTATAGTCTCTTTTTTAACTCAGCTCTCCCAACCAACTTTCATCTTGGCACCGCAGTTCATTTCACATTCAGAATGCACTAAAACTACCAAAACACTTCATACATCTCTAATCAAGTCTGTAACACCAGCAAATTGAAACTGAAAAACTAACACATATGTAGGTGTTCAGTTTCATCTAATTGTTTTGATAGGATTTCATTTTTATAGATTTAGAATATATTTCAATATGGTATTACTGTAGAAATATTGCAAATTGCTGCCTGTATTATTTGAGGTTTTGAACTTAAGTTTAACAGTTTTGAACAAAGCATTTAAATGTGCAAACTGACCTGTAGATACATTTGGTTGTGTCTAAATGAGAAAAGATTTCATGTAATTTTAAAGATGTAGTCATAGAATGCATTTGGGGCCAAAGCAATAAAAAATGATCCACAGTTAAGCCCACATAGATTGCTGTTGTGCTCACTATGTGAAGAGTTTTGAAAAAGTGACCTAAAAAGTGATAAATTGGTGCTTGCGATTGTAAAAAAAAAACTGTAATATATTCATAGTCACAGAGGCAGGTGGCACCATGATGTTGTGAGCTAATAATATGAACTAAATGAGAAACAGTGACATGGTACATGCTCATGTTGTGTGTGTGTCATACCATCAGTGATTAGGGCTCTGCTGGTCAAAATCCTTCCCAGCATGAACTTGGCAACAGCAAGAATGACACACATGAGGCCACTGACGATAGAAACGCTGAACAGGAAGTCATCCTGGCAGAGAGACAGAAACAGACAGAAAGCAGAATTGTTCACAGTAGAAATGATGCAGGGCCCATATGGTTGAATCATGAAATTGGGAGGGGGGCACAGACAATACCAATATGGAGATATTAAAGCCTGAACTCTTGTGGAAGTAAAAGAGGGATAAAAGGATAACAATTTAACAATATCAGTCGGTCTTTCATATATGTCTTGTCGGCTCTTGAGGCGATACAGAGATGAAGTGCAGTTCATTTTAAGCACAAGTGAAAAGTATCCAACTTAATATTTAATAAGGAATCGAAAAAGCATGATAAGAGGATTAGACTAGACTAGATATAAGACTCACAAAAACTGATTTACACAACAAATATGATGGCTTTAAATACAGTAAACAGGACTATTCTAATAGCTGTGAAAAATGAACATGTCTGTATCAGAATTATGGACAAAAACTAAACATACATGGTCAGTGAAACTGATCACAAAAGCGTCACAATAAAAAGACATGACAAGATGCAAAATCAAAGACACATGAAAACATCAAGTGGAGCTCTCCAAACACCAGGAAAAAGGAAAACAAAAAGTACAAAAATAGCTATTATAAATAATAAAACTGCGTAAATGACTCGTATCAGTCCTGAGGACATTTTCAGGTGCATCATAGATGAACTACAGCTGTCTCTTTTGCTTGTTTCTTTTCTCTCCAAACTAAGAATGTCTGCTTACCACCCACACAACATCCAGAAGCATTTCTCTTACATTTCTAATAAGACAGTTTGTTCAGAGTCCTTCATCTCCGAGGAACAGCTGAGAGACAAAGAATGTGTTTAAATTCAGACTTTCATCTTTTAAGCTGTAGACTGACTAGTTAAGACTGGCAATTTGGATGAATTGGGACCACACAGTTTTCAATAAGGCCACCTTAGAGATTCAGAGTGATGGCCATTTGCCAGTGAAGGGAAAACTGAAAATATAAATTCAAAATATTACAATATCATTTATTGTTATTGTTTTGAATCGCTATAGGGTCATTCCGTGTCAACTCAACCATAGTTCCCCGGCTCAAATTGTTGATTTTGCTAATAGTTTTTCTGAAGAAAGATAGGCTTGTATAGTGATGAAAGACAAAATTTTAAATTTCATGGATGAATATTTACTGACTAATCCACTATTTTGTGTGTGGGGGGGGGGGCAGTTTTCACCTAAAATTCAGAGTCGAATTACAGGAGGGTAAAAATGACTTCAGAAAGATGGCAGCATCATAATGTTACTTTTACGCAGAGATTGGTAGGTCTGTTGGTAAAATCTGTTGACTTTAGCAATCTTTGTTGCATTATGTGCCAATGGTGAAGTATTTCTCAATACTTATAGTCTCTTTTTTAACTCAGCTCTCCCAACCAACTTTCATCTTGGCACCGCAGTTCATTTCACATTCAGAATGCACTAAAACTACCAAAACACTTCATACATCTCTAATCAAGTCTGTAACACCAGCAAATTGAAACTGAAAAACTAACACATATGTAGGTGTTCAGTTTCATCTAATTGTTTTGATAGGATTTCATTTTTATAGATTTAGAATATATTTCAATATGGTATTACTGTAGAAATATTGCAAATTGCTGCCTGTATTATTTGAGGTTTTGAACTTAAGTTTAACAGTTTTGAACAAAGCATTTAAATGTGCAAACTGACCTGTAGATACATTTGGTTGTGTCTAAATGAGAAAAGATTTCATGTAATTTTAAAGATGTAGTCATAGAATGCATTTGGGGCCAAAGCAATAAAAAATGATCCACAGTTAAGCCCACATAGATTGCTGTTGTGCTCACTATGTGAAGAGTTTTGAAAAAGTGACCTAAAAAGTGATAAATTGGTGCTTGCGATTGTAAAAAAAAAACTGTAATATATTCATAGTCACAGAGGCAGGTGGCACCATGATGTTGTGAGCTAATAATATGAACTAAATGAGAAACAGTGACATGGTACATGCTCATGTTGTGTGTGTGTCATACCATCAGTGATTAGGGCTCTGCTGGTCAAAATCCTTCCCAGCATGAACTTGGCAACAGCAAGAATGACACACATGAGGCCACTGACGATAGAAACGCTGAACAGGAAGTCATCCTGGCAGAGAGACAGAAACAGACAGAAAGCAGAATTGTTCACAGTAGAAATGATGCAGGGCCCATATGGTTGAATCATGAAATTGGGAGGGGGGCACAGACAATACCAATATGGAGATATTAAAGCCTGAACTCTTGTGGAAATAAAAGAGGGATAAAAGGATAACAATTTAACAATATCAGTCGGTCTTTCATATATGTCTTGTCGGCTCTTGAGGCGATACAGAGATGAAGTGCAGTTCATTTTAAGCACAAGTGAAAAGTATCCAACTTAATATTTAATAAGGAATCGAAAAAGCATGATAAGAGGATTAGACTAGACTAGATATAAGACTCACAAAAACTGATTTACACAACAAATATGATGGCTTTAAATACAGTAAACAGGACTATTCTAATAGCTGTGAAAAATGAACATGTCTGTATCAGAATTATGGACAAAAACTAAACATACATGGTCAGTGAAACTGATCACAAAAGCGTCACAATAAAAAGACATGACAAGATGCAAAATCAAAGACACATGAAAACATCAAGTGGAGCTCTCCAAACACCAGGAAAAAGGAAAACAAAAAGTACAAAAATAGCTATTATAAATAATAAAACTGCGTAAATGACTCGTATCAGTCCTGAGGACATTTTCAGGTGCATCATAGATGAACTACAGCTGTCTCTTTTGCTTGTTTCTTTTCTCTCCAAACTAAGAATGTCTGCTTACCACCCACACAACATCCAGAAGCATTTCTCTTACATTTCTAATAAGACAGTTTGTTCAGAGTCCTTCATCTCCGAGGAACAGCTGAGAGGCAAAGAATGTGTTTAAATTCAGACTTTCATCTTTTAAGCTGTAGACTGGCTAGTTAAGACTGGCAATTTGGATGAATTGGACCACACAGTTTTCAATAAGGCCACCTTAGAGATTCAGAGTGATGGCCATTTGCCAGTGAAGGGTGCTGACATGAAGAGTCCAGGTCTAATGAATGTGGAACTGCAGGCTGATAGAACGAAAAAAGCACATTAAAGAAGGTGGAAGCCCATTTCCGAATCATCCATCCTAATGCAATAGGAGAGGGCCGACAGAACCGATGGCTTCCGGCCAGCACAAATCCATCATTAAAGCTGCTGCTGTGATGTTTCATTAGAACGTATGGGGCTAAACAAGGCTTGAAAGAATATATGAATAAATTAAACTATCTGTGATGACAGTAAATATTTACATCAGGTCAGCCTTTCAAGGAAGAGGTGACATTCACTAGTGACTTGTTGAGTGATGACACGACACACACACACACTTAGATGTCAGTATAAAGTGGAAAATTTCAATATAAATCATTATATATGTATTTACATAGATGCATACATTTAAGTAATAATTTAAAACGTGCCAAATTATATATATTGCAAAAAGTCTATCTTAGTAAATTAGTATATTCGGTGCAACCAGTGTTATTTTAGTATTATTTATATGCTAATGATAATTGTAGCATTTGTGAATGTTTTAAATCAGTTTTCATTTTAATTTAAGCTTTATTAATTGTATGTACTTTGTCATTTTTAAATACTTTTATTTAGCTTTAATTTACTTTATTTCAGTTTTAGTAAATTTAGCATCTTTAACTTTTACATTTTTCATTAAAGTTTTTCATCTGATACTTATAAAGTATTATATTTTAGCTTCATTTAAATTACCCAAAACAATTTTTAATAGTTTTAGTTAACATTAACAATAACAATCTTGGGTGCAAGTCACTCATTCCACTCCAGATTTTATTTACTACCAAGATCTTGGCAACATTTTTCATCTAAAAAAAAAAAAAAAGACATATTTAATATAATTTTCTGCACATTAGAAATTCATCAAATAAACCACAGAGGACAGTGATAAAAACTCAATCTTGACCGTCACCCTCCTGCTGTGCTGATGGAGTGAACCATAACAGACCCCTGACACCTATTATTCCTGTCAGCGGCATCTATGTGTGACTCCAGATTACTGCTGTTTCCTCGTGCTCATTAGCATTTTATAGCCTGGGAAGATGAAAAGGGTGTGAACTGCTATTTCCCAGCCAGAAAAAATAAACACTGAGTGAAAACACTGATTTACATTTAGATTTTCTTTGATTAGAGAGGTGCCTTTAGGCTGTCAATGGCCAAACAAAGGGAAAAATATATTGTTGGTTGTCATTAATCTTTTTATTTATTTATTTTGAGTATAGCCATTTTTTCTCTCTGTTATTCCTTCTCCCCTCCTTACATGCTTCCTCACTCAGCATAAACAGAGAGAGTATTTCGTGATACACCGATAACTGCAAGTCTCCAGACCTGGATATCAGTTAACATTTTGTTGGTAAAGGATCATAAAAATAATGTTAAGTAATGTTAGAGTAAGGATGTATCAGTGCTCAGAGATTTATCAGCGGTGTAAAAGAGATGAAAATAGAGAGCGATTAAAATCGCAATAGCATTAATCACCACCTCTGAAATGATTATCCTGCAGCTCTTTGGAGTGGTGCCAGTCTTTGATTAATTAACGGATAAAGACTGAACACATTGCTGTTAGCTGTGACTGCTGAAAAAGTTCACAACTGACTGTGAGATGAAATACTGCAGTGTAGAAAGAGTTTGTCAGGTAACCTAAAGTAATTTTTAAGGGTCAAAAGAGGCAGAATGAGTTAAGTTCCTTAAGTTAACAATTTATCATTTGCCTTTTTAAGGTGTGAAGATGATTGTATCCATCTATTTGTCAAACTCAACATCTATTATATTCAATGTAGGAACATTAATCTTAAAATGATAGATATGACACACTGCCATTGAACTCACCACTTCAGGAAGAAGTTTGGTGGCCAGATCATGGATGGCCTTTCCCAAAATACACATAGAAGACAAGATGAAAATCACTCCCAGGATCACACATGCTCTGTTGATGGAGAAAACCAGAAAACAATATGCTGATAAAATAATATATTTAATCAATTCTTGAATTAGTTTATATGTTTTGAGTTTATATGATTTGAGTTATTTTATCGTTCAAATGTTTGGGGTCAGTAAGATTTGTTTTAAAGATATTAATATTCAGCAAAGATGCATTCAATTAATTAAAAGTGACAGTAAATACATTTATAAAGTTACAAAAGATTTGCATTTCAAATAAATGCTGTTCTTTTGAACTTTCTATTCATCAAAGAATCCTGAAAAAACACATCACGGTATAAACTTTTTCAACATTAATAATAATAATTGAAATGTTTCTTGAACACCAAATCAGGATCATGTGACACTGAAGACTGGAGTAATGATGCCCGAAAATTCAGATTTGTTAGCACAGAAATAAACTACATTTTAAAACATATTCATATAACAGTCATTTTAAATTGTAATACTATTTTACAATATTACTGTTTTGGTCACACTGTATTTTAAGGTCCAGTTCTTACTATTAACTAGCTATGAACTACAACTTTTGCCTCAGTAAACTCCTAATTACTGCTTATTAATAGATAGTAAGGTAGTTGTTAAGTTTGGGATTCGGAATGTAGAATATAATCATGCAGAATATGTGCTTTATAAGTACTAATAAACAGCCAATATGTTAATAATAGGCAGGCTAATAAGCAACTAATTAATAGTGAGAATTGGTCCCTATACTAAAGTGTTACCACTGTTTTAACCTATTTAACCTATAAATAACCTATAAATAAATGCAGCATTGGTGAGCATAAGAGACTTCATTAAAAACAAACATTTTTATGGTAGTGTTTATATTATTATACCTCTTCTATATTTTGTATATTTTTTTGTAGCTGATGTTGATTCAAGGTTAACAAGCGATAACACTGACAGTTTCACAAAGGTGCACCTGGGGAACACTGGCCTCAACTGATTTACAAATGCTTCGTTTTTTTTATAGTAAACCTGCAGAAACTTGATCCACTCTGAAAAATATTAAAAGTGCCCCCAATACTTGTTCAGATTCTCTGTATGACAAGCGGCCACCGGTACACCGGTACACCTACAGAGACCTGCAATTCTTCTCTAGTATTGCACTATAAATCTTTCTGACACATCGACCAGAGAAATGAGATTCACAAGCCCCCCAGAGACTGAGGATAAAACCAGCAGCACAGGTCTTTATCAACGTAAAACGTCTCCAATTGAGACAGTCAAGGTGAAAGCCAGAAACAACGCAGATCACTCAACAAACCTGATAAATCAAACATGTTCAGACTTAAAACATGTTGCACTGAATGTTGGTAGGATCTAGTCGAAAGAGAATAGATTTTGTTTTCTACCATGCTCCAGCACAATTCCAAATGCACTAGCTTTACAAAGAATAGCACTTACAGTGAAATGTTGACTTTTATTTTAAAATGTTTGGAATTTTTTTTGGTTTAGTGTTAGTCACAGAGGAAGCATTATTCATCCGTTTTAGTGTTTTGCTGCAGGTTTTTTGTACTATGCAGTGCCCTACATACCACAGACAGCTTGGCTTTTGTTTACTTACATGTATTCTCTATGGGCAGAGTGCACTGCTGCAGCGTTGCTATAGCGCCACAGCACTATAATGGAGGAAAGAACATCTAACATCGCGTCAAACTGAAAAACAACAGTGATTCATCAGTGCTACAGAAATAATGCTCATTGCATCATCTCACTATGTCACAAACTTAGGTCCAGTGATACATTTAGTCTAATGAAACACTCCCACAGCTGCCTTGAGCACAAGAATGTAATGAATGTAAACGTAATAAATCAAAAACAAAACCTGGATCATAAAAATATCCTGTTAAGCAGCTTGTTGTATTTTTTTCCAGTGTCATTAGCAACCATCTCTCATATCCTACATTAGGTGTTGGGATAGGCTTAACACGGACACCATTTAAATAATATTTACACATAGCTTGACAGCTGAACATTAAGCAAAAACAAATGCACACATTTCCAGAATCCTTTGCCTAAAAATAAAATGTAGTTCATTAACACAGAAGATTATACTTACGGCAAATCCAAAAGCTGATGCACTGTGTCTCATGAAGGATACAGCTATTGGGGGAAAAAAAACATTGAGAAAGACATTTATATATTAATGTATATATATATTACACCACAAAGCATAATTAATACACAGTACAGCACTTTACAGCACTGACAAATGTAAAGGAGCGTCTGATGGATGTTAAGCTGTTTCTGAACTATACTTTGTCTATTATTCTGAACTAATGTTTGGTAACAAAACATTAAAATAACATAAAAATAACAGTTTTACCATTGTTGTTGGAAATGGTACAATGACAATACTTTGTTTTTTTTTCTGAGCAGCATATGTCCATGTAAATATCATCTGCATTATATAATATGTATTATTCTATTCTATTCTATTCCACATTATGTGTAAGGAAAACAAGTCACACAAAAATTTATTTCACATCAAAAACAAACAATTCTAAAATAGTCATATAATATTATATATTATAATATAATATAATGTAAACCTAAAAGCTGTAACTGTAAAGCTAGAAAACACTATAAATGGAATAAAGCAGCATGTCTTTAGGACAGACAAAATAATAGACAGTCAACAGAGGGCAACAGACAAATTGCTTTTAGAAAGTCTGGGAGGGGATTGTTACTTTTGTGAAACATCAGTGAGTTTCACACAGAGAAAATGCCTCCTGTACATGTTCAGCTCAAAGCACAGGTCTGTTGTACAATGTCAGCCGTTGTAATCAGATGGAAGTGCAATTGTCAAATCCTATGTTACATTTATCAGTAACAGAATGCACAGTCAACTCACCCCTCTATTTGCATCTATTAAAATGTGAATTGAAAAAGGCTGCCCACTGTGTTTTGACTTTTTTGACAAAGATGTAGAGATATGAGGCTCTCCATTTTACCAAGCGTGAGCTTGCATTTGAGATTCTCTATTTGCTGCCCCCCTCTTGAGTGGAGAACCCTCACTGTTCTATTGATCTCCAACTTTAAAGACAGACTCGACCACCACGTGTCATAGCAACAGAGGGGCTGCACATCGCATGATATCCCACACTGCCCTTGAAACAGAACAACACTTCTCCTCAGGAGTTCTTATTATGTATGAAAAACAAAAGATTTTTTTGTTTATTAAACCAAATGTTAAAACAACTGAGGAGCCTATAACAAATGTTGATGCATTGTAATATACAATATCCAACAAGTCAGCACAAGTGTTAATCAGTGGTTTAGTTCAAGTTTGGCCCAGATCGTGTTTCCATCACATTCTCTCTCTTCATTTTATTTCTCAACTCTCTCAATCAGTACAAATGTGGCAAAAAGGAAAGAAAAACACTACTAGTTGCACAGAAAGACAAGTACATCTAGATCCCTTGAATTTCTGCATTTAGCAGACCAACAAAGGGCCCAAAATTGTAGCTGAGGGGTCATAATACTAGAACGAACAAACAGCTTACATTCTTAATAACTATGAACTATAGATTTTGTGAACTTGCCATCATGAGCAGAAAAAAAAGTACAGGTCTATCTGGAAAAGATAACATCCACATTCTTCCGAACATAAAGAGAAATCTGTCTCGATGATGGAGTTTCCGTTTATATTGCTCAAGGACAGAATTATGTCGGTTATAAAACCGCCAATGGTCGGCATAAAACATTAGCGTGGATCTGAGGACTTTGTTTTAAGAAAAGAAAAGTACAAGTTGGAGGAAATCTTTTGTCTGCATCAACAAAAAGGCATTTACTGAGCTGTGCTACCGATGAAGCTGAAGACAAATCTGGACAACATTGAGTCAGCCCCCCCCCCCCCCCCAAAAAAAAACTAAGCACATAGGAAGGAATGTGATGATCAAAGAACTCAGTGAGTGTAGTTACAGCAGAGGAAACATGCCTGAGGAAGTAGGTCAAAATCAGTGTGAATGTCTCCAGTCCTGCATTACTTCCATATTAGTATTAACAAGAAAAAATTATTTTTCTGTTGATGTAAATATATGGTTTTGAAATGTTCAATAAGCACATAGCTGTGTTGTTCAGGTGTCAACATAATTTGATTTGTTTACCGTATCTTAAGGCTCAGGTGGAAACTGGAGGTGAAACGTGTAGGTTGGTCCAGATCTTTTGACAAACAGCAGGTCTGAATTGGGGAAATTTCTGCATACTTTAAGTTTCCAAATCGGAACATAAAACGAAAACTCCCTGTTGGGCGTTTGCTAACAAGACACAAGACACTTATTAACAGGAGAAAAGCTGTAGAGGAAGAAACAGAGAAGACAGAGGAAGATGGCTGGCTTCTCTGATTTGCACTGATAGTCACTATTTCACTTTCAGTCTCTCCTAGTCTCGAGTGTATGGTCCAAAGCCCCTTTCAAAGAATCTCAGTTCACGCAGCAGCTCTGATTACAATGTCTCTGGATAGCTATTTCAGGCAAGATCAACTCTTATCTTATTGAAAGGGGAAATAGTGAAATTTCTAAAAAAAAAAAAAAAAAAAACCTTCCTTCCTCACATTTAAATAACATCATAAATCAGCAACAAAATCAGACATGAAATGTCTCATAAATGTTGTTTCAAATGCTCAAATAGTATATAGTATTATAGGTTGGTCCAGTCCAGTCAAAACACAAGTACAGTTCTAAGGGAAATCTCAGGTTTCTCTGCGAACCAGACCTTCTAACAGAAACTTCAGTGATGCAATGATTTTACCAATTTATTTAGAAAGGTGAGTTCACATTTAGCATTTAGCAACCAATCATTTCATTGGGAATCCTTGCAATTCACCCTTTGCAGGGAGTTTGATTGACAAGCAATCTGACCAATCATAATGCAGAATCCGCCATTTTGTCCTACAATCAAACCAGACAGGAGAGTAGATTAACGTCGGTGGACATGAACTTAAAAAATATATTAACGTCTTTCCGCGCTTGAAACAAGATACCTTCTGATGTTCATTCATGTTTATTTCATGCTATAACTAGTAAAGAGGAAGAGATGATCAGTTCACGTGCCACTTAAACTGAGGCGTGACACATTAAAGAGCCACAAAACGTTATTTATTGTTTGAATTTCTTACAAAATGCAAAAAAAAATGTAAACTTTATTTCATACCAGAAGTAGCCTGCTCTGTTTTGTTTGTCAGCGTGTTGTCAGTGTCCACTTTGCTCCACGATGTATTTTTCACTGCGTGAGAACATGTGGCGTGAGAGTGGCATGGCTTGTCAGACGTATCAACAGTAATGAAGGGGGGCAGGTCTTTTCGAAGGGTAAATAGGAATTTCGCCTGAGGGTGAATGATTTCCCCACACAGCTTACACAAATCCGCACTTTTTTGAATGTGACTTCAGTGTGTTTGGTGCTTTATACATCTCTACATGCCTGTGAAATGTGCCTGAAATTGTCTCTAACTTGGCAGTAACTAAAACCACCACATTGCACATTTAAGTTTCTCACATCATTTTTTTTTTTATGAGTCTTTTTTGGATTTTTTTCAATGAATCAGCTAATCCAATTCACAAAACCTGTCTGAATGATTTCTTCAGCTAAACTCGCTGAATCAGCGATCATGTAGCAGCAGTTTAACTTTAAAGGGATAGTTCACCCAAAAATAATGACTTTATTCAACAATCTGTCTCCTCCGCGTCATTATAGCGCCATTTTGGAGAGTATCACATACATCATGTTATACTTTTGTGACACTTTTGTTTTTTGTGAATTACCATCGGCTCATCGGTCTGAAAAGCGAGGTGTGCTGTGATTGGCCAGCTATCCAGTGCGTTGTGATTGACTGAATACCTCAAGCGTGTGATGGAAATGTTACGCCCCTCACCATACTGTGATACCCTGTCAGGCCGGAGCGACAAGACAAAAACATTAAAACCCATTATAAACTAGGCATTTGTCGCATCCAGTGGGAACATAATTACTGATTATAATGACTTATACTGTCTTTTTACATGTTGCGTTGCATCACGCCGCGCCGTGTAAACTTAAAACCTTGTCTGCATTTGTGATCGGAGAAATGACAAACAACAAGCGCTTCTCTACACTGCCCAAAACTCGTGTTTGAATCATCAGTGGCAAATTCTTTAAATATAAAAAACTTACTTACAGTCTGTGAGTCAGAACAGCCGGCATTGTAGTCTAATCTCCCAGGAAACAGTCCTCCATAAAATGTGCTGCACACATCTGAATATTTGGGAATTATTTGGGTTCTGGAACAGTGTTGTAAATATAATTTACACTGATTTCTAGTCATGTCCTCTTTTGGAAGGCCAAACAAAGTAGTTTCGCTTTCACAACGAAACACAGCATCACACACGGCGGGCTAGAGTGAGCGTTGGCCAGAGGCCTAGAGTGAGAGAATATCAATACATAACATGCTCCTAATACCTTAGTGTCAGGATAGTGACTAAATCATCCCACATATGTGAATTTAACATTAGTCTGTGTATATGCAAAGGATTTAATTGCCAATTCCAATGCAAATGAATGCAAATTCCTCGACCTCATGTAGCAGTCACGTTAGGGGACGCTGTCTATCACAACAATGCTCTTCTTCAGCTCTGCTGCAATATGTTGTCTTTAATAATTCACAACCTACAGCGCTGGGCCATTTGCCACATGCAGAGAGTTTACTGCACTCCCAACCCTCAGTGCAGTTCACCAGTGCTGTGAGCAAAGTGATCAAATTTAGGGAATTTAATTTGAGAAACGGTGGAATTTAGGCTTCATATGAAATATGATCATCATATAGTGCAAGGGAGCTGATGCCATGTGCTCTGTGGGTGAGACTATCATTGAATAAAGTTTAAAAGTGCACTTTAAGGGTCTAACAACTTTTTTTTTTAATTATGTTTCACATAACCTGGTTTCCAGAAACTCGTTCTCACCACAAACAAACATATAAACCACAGATCTCCACAGTCTTAGAGAGAGAAAAAATACTAATTGAATCAGAAAATGAATGCAAATTCCTCGACCTCATGTAGCAGTCACGTTAGGGGACGCTGTCTATCACAACAATGCTCTTCCTCAGCTCTGCTGCAATATGTTGTCTT